CCCCACAGCCTTCTCTTCTCCAGGCTGAGCAGCCCCAGCTCCCTCAGCCTGTCCTCGTAGGAGAGGTTCTCCAGCCCTCTGACCATTTTTGCCACCCTCCTCTGGACCCGCTCCGACAGCTCCGTGTCCTTCTTGTACTGAACAGCTGGGCTGCAGCAGGACTGGGTGAGAATTAGAGCATTTTTCTCTCTGGGGCTGATGTTCCCCGTCTCCCACACAGGGTAAGAAGTTTGAGATCCTGCCGGACGGGCTGCCCTCGGCCAGGAAGCTCATCTACTACACGGGCTGCCCGCTGCGCTCCCGCCACCTCCTGCAGCTGCTCAGCAGCAGCCACCGCCTCTACATGAACCTGCAGCCCGTCCTGCGCCAGGTCCGCAGGCTGGAGGAGAATGAGGGTAGGCACAAGCCCCGCTGTGGTCCCAGTTCCTCCCAGTGCCTCGGTGCGGCGCTTCCCAGTGCCCCGCGTCCCATCTCCGAGTTCAGAAAGCCCTTGTGCAAACATAATATCTTCCTCTTCGTATTCCTCATTTCCCTCCACATCTTCCTCTTTCGCTTCCTCTTCCTCTTCTTTTTCCTCCTGCTCTTCCTCCTCATCTTCCTCTTTTCCCTCCTCATCTTCCTCTTTCCCCTTCTCTTCCTCTTCTTGCTCCTCCTCCTCTTCATCCTCCTCCTTGTCCTCCTCATCCTATTCCTCCTCCTTGTCCTCCTTGTCTTGCCTTGTCTTATTCCTCCTCCTCCTCCTCTTCTTCCTCCTCATCTTCTTCCTCATCCTCATTCTCCTCATCTTCCTATTCTTCTTCCTCCTCATCTTCCTCCTCCTCTTATTCCTCCTTGTTGTCCTCCTCCTCTTCTTCCTCTTCTTTCTCCTCCTCTTCCTCCTCCTCTTCTCCCACCTCCTCTTCTTCTTCCTCCTCTTCTTCTTCTTGCTCTTCCTCCTTCTCTTCTTCCCCTTCCTCCTCCTCCTCCTCCTCTGGAGGAGCGACCCAGCACAGAGCACTGCAGGTTTTAGGCTCCCCACCCCACCTCACCATCCCCAAAAGCCACCGGGACAAGGCTGGTTTCTGCTGTCCCACCCCACTGGCCTGGGCTGGC